AGTTCTGAGAGTCACTGTGTCAGAAATGTTTACCTTGGACTCTGGACACGGAAGAAAAACCTACTGTGGGAGGAGTAATTGGAACTTCTATTCTTGGAACTGAAACATCTGGACGGTGTTACGCTCTTGCAGAATGAAGATGCTATTGACTGTGAACTTTATCTGACATAAAATGTGATGTCCATGAATAAAATAAGTAATAAATCTATCTAGAATTTGGCATTTCTTCTACTTAGAAACATTTTGAAGTCTGCCAATATATTCATAAGTTGACATTTTGCAAACCAAGAAAATTAGAATGCATTGATCCAGACCTATTATTACATATTGATCAGCACACTCTATACTAGGGGTTCCTTTTGTTATTTCCTATAAATCCTTTGACAGAAACATGACCACACCACGCAGCAATTCCCCAGAAGGATCCCCAGTTGGACCTATAAATAGAGAATGCATCCACAGCAAAGTGCAGCCAAAACAGGGCTCCCTTCTATGTGGTCTCGCCAACCGCAGCTCTGATACACCACTGGGTTATGAAAATATATTTCATTTTTATTATTTAGAACTGCAACACAACGGAAACTTGGAACTGCAAGCAGCAACATTTAATTTTCCTTGAGCACATTTAAAATTGGAATAGAAAAAAATCACATTCAATTTAATATTTCACCCATTTCCTTGGACTGTTTTCATTTTTCCTTTGGGAGGAGAAAAGGAAAAGTGATACATTCTAATAATTGCAACTGAATCTTTAAAAGGGAACTCCCTGAAACAAACTCTCTATTGATCAGTTCTGTGTTGAGTCTATACAGTTTCCTTGACATATAAAAGGATGCATTATTTTTTACCAATGCTGGCCTTGAAAATACTTGCCAATGCAGCCACGTAGCTGGTCCAAGGTGGAAAAATACTGAACGAGTATATACATACCTATATTGAATGGTTACTGAAGATGGAGAATAGCAGATGAGACCAAATTATTTAGAATATAACTGATTTAAGCTAAGTATATGTATATGTACATATGTGTTTATTTTAAGTAAATATAAATTCATGAGATTCCTTGAGGTTTTATCAAACAAGTTTGGTGTTATTTGCACTTCCTTCCTTCTTCTCCTTCTGTCCTGGTCACAAGGACTGATGATGCCCCCCATAGGAACCATAAACTAACAAAAGCCCAAGTACCAGGCACAAGAAACACCTTTAGAATGGCTGGTCAAGGTAGTTCAAGTGACTCCCAAGAAAATAGAGGCTGTGACTGTTGCCCTTGGTTGCCTCTAAGAAGCTGAAGGTAAACAGCTATTGCAGAAGGCACCACTCACTTAGACACAGGACGTGAATTATTCAAGCTAGATCTAACCCTAAATCTTCCTTTCTGCCGTCTGGCTTCCTTGGGATCAGAGAATATCGCACACATTGAGTGGAGGGAGGCAGAGACAGCAAGTGGTGCTCACATGTCAATGGTAACCAACAGCTATCTAATTGGACTTGAGGCCCCTTAACAAGAAGAAAACCATGCCTGGTACTGGAAACCTAGCCAACTTCTCTGGACTCATGAGGTCACGGCCTTAGCAAAATATCTACTACTGCATTTTGCTAGACCATTGTAATTCCAAATGGCATTCTAAATCTATCATCCCTCATCAGAGAAGTTTATTTTTACAGCAAATAGAGACCATGAGAGAAAATCATAATCAATGGATCTTTGGGAGTCCAGCCCTAACGGATACATCTGCATCACAGATCCTCTTGTATGGGTCAAGGGACATTGCAGAAGAGGAAGGAGAAAGGTTATAAGTGAAACAATCTTTCCTAGAAATGGCTTCATGAACAAGATGCTATTGCAGAAAAGGGAAAATCTCATCAAATCACACCCCAGGACAAGGAACTACAAGCAACTGATGACTGCTAAGTGAGGAGAGTTAGCCGTTCCCAGAAAGGAGCCTGCTGGTTGGTTATCTGATAGAAAGTGTTCAGCCCTGAGTCATATACACACAAACAAAAATGGATTCAGCAGGCTGTACTTATGTATTTTTTTTCTTTTTATAATTTATTTTTTAATTTAATTTAAATTAGAAACAAGTTTGCTTCACATGTCAATCCTAGCTCCCTCTCCCTCCCCTCCTCTCCCTTTCTCTTCAATCCTCCCCCAACCCCTCCCCCAATCCCCACTCCACTCTCCAAGGAGGGTGAGCCCTTCAAGGGGGGATCTTGAAAGTCTGTCATATGATCTAGGGCAGGGTCTAGGCCCTCCCCCATGTGTCCAGGCAGAGACAGTATGCCTCCATGTGGAATGGGCTCCCAAAGTCCATCTGGATGACAGGGCTAAGTGCTGATTTATTGGTTGAGGCCTCCCTCCCTGCCCTGCCCAGGAAGATTCTGTCCTGTTCCCCTTCTCTGGGTTACCATGCATTTCTTTCTTAGGGTCCTCCCTGTTTCCCAGACTTTCTGGCTGGGGATTATAGGCTGACACTCCCCTGTTTCAGGCCTAAAATCCAAATATGAGTGAGTGAGTGAGTGTGTGTGTGTGTGTGTGTGTGTGTGTGTGTGTGTGTGAGTGTGTAACTATAAAAACCAGGAAGAAGAGGCTATCAAATTGACGGTGGGAGTGCCTGGAAGGAATTGGAGGGAGGTGACTTGAAAAATGGAGAAAGGAATTTGAAAGAGAAAGTGATGCAATTATAATTCAATTAAAAATATGTAAAAACTAAAAATGAATTTTAAAAGAAAACTTAAATAAAGGGATATAACTGAATTAAAGCAAGCCTAGAGAATATTTGTTTATAACCAGAATACTATTTAAATTTGTTTTTTAAAAACTGTACACAAACTAAAAAAAAACTGTACACAAAGAGTAGTCTGAGCTACAGCATTTTAATAAATGTTGCAGTAGAAGTTTATTAGAAATTTCAATTCCATGGTGAAGAACCTCATGGGTTCTTCTAGTTTTTGTTTAAAAAATACCAGAAAATTATGTTTTGCGGACCTGCATGGGATTTCAACTCACAGTTGCAAGGTCTGTAACTAAATAAATAAGAAAATCTGTTCTGCATCCAGTACCCTTGACATAAAATGTGGTTTCCCTGGGTGATCAATAACAAGCATACATTCTTTCCACCGGGGTGCCAGAATTTTGCCCACATTCAGGAAGTGAAAAATAGTTCTAATCTTAATAATTATTTCAAATATATGCTCCAAACATAATGTAGCTATGTGTGTAGTATATGAAAGAATCATGAAATTTGATTATTTGAAACTTGTGTTGGAGGGGGAGATGGGAAAGCTAGTTTACATAAATGGCCTAGCCACTGGGTGTTTCCATTCCCAAACTAAAGCTTTGCATTGCAATCAGCTAAAAACCAAGGGAAACGTAGAGAAAGAGTTGCTTAACCTAGAGGCACTCACCAAAGAATATTTTCCTGGCACTGATTTTTTTTTTTAGCCAGGCAAAGTTAATCTCCGAGTTCTCTGTTCAGTAGAAATGTTTCAGTGTATATGAGAGGGAAAGGCCTGCTCCTCTACATCCCTGGTAGGACCTTCTGAAACAAGCTGACACTCGCAGCAAAGATGTCCTCTTTGAAAGGCTTCTGCTATGCATTTACACATCACGACAGTGACGACCTTAACCCAACTCTGCCCCGTGGCTTTGCAACTGAGTCACCAATAAGAAATTAGCTTCATTTTCCTTCCATAAACTTTTGCTCGATCACTTAAAGCATTTTTCACTTCCCCTGAACATCTCCAAAAAAAAGGTAAATGAGCATAAGTTAATTTCATTTCCTTTTTAATTTTAGAGAACACATACAGTCAATATAAGTGACAGAAAATTTTTAAAAGTTAAAGAAAGCAAACAGCCTATAACCTTTAACACTGACTGAATTATTTTTAAAAATAGATTCTTAATGGTCTTTTTCCTATGTCTATATACTTTGACATATAATAAAATCTTTACATTCATTTTCTATGTTTTATTGATCATATATCTTAGGTACACATCTGAAAGTATGTCTAAGAATGTCACAACAAAACCATTATTTTGGAACCTCAAGAGCAAACAGATCCATGTTGCAATGTTTGTCTAAATATTTGTATAAATAAATTTTTATTATAGGCTATAGGGTGTTTTCTTTCTTCAGATTTTAAGTTTCTAAAGTCTCTTATATTGACTATATCTTTTCTTTAAATTAAAAAGACAATACTTGTATAGATAAGTTAGATAATTTACATATTCCTTTTAATGAATAAACAGCTATTCCCTACATTTAGAAGAAGGCACTGTGGGATATATATGTATTTCTTTATAATAAATTTCCAAAAGTAGGCACTAAATGTGTCAGAGTTTAAGGAAGGTGTGTCATACACAGTAGCAAGTCCATTAATATTAGTTAGTGTTACTGGCTGTTGACTCAAGAAGCTGCATTTTACCAACTAGTTTAGAAGCCTCTCTATAAAGACCAGACAATTCCAACAGGGAATAAAGACCTCGCTCAGGTTTATACCTAGCAATTATGCTCAAAATTCTACCATTATCCTCTCCTCCCATGTACATGGGAGACTGGACCCCTTCGCCCTGTCGAGATTGAAAATCTCCGTGACGTGTTTTGGTCAATAAGTGTGAATGGAGATGACCTGTCACTCCACCAGAGTCTTTGAGTACTGCCACGAGACTCCTCCCCCTCCCCCTGTGAGACAGGAGACTCCTCCCACTGTGAGACAGTAGACTCCTCCCACTGTGAGACAGGAGACTCCTCCATCAGATGAGGCCTCCAGGTGGTGCTGGAGTCACAAACGCAGTTGAAAGCAGTTGCCCATCAGAGTCTGGCAGAGCCCCATGGCCGCAGACGCAGTCACTGCTGAGCTGAGGTTCGGTGTGACGCAGCCTCTCCTCGCTGATAAAACCGTATGGAAGACGAAGTCTATTAGCATCTGATTGCTTTGATAATAATATTGCAACATCCTTTGGAACGGTTTTTAAGTGAGAAGGAAAACTGCATACATTCTCTAGAAAGGTGGTTTATTTTGCCAACCTCTACACTTGAAACTCTCAACCAATATTTCTAAATCATTTTGAATTTTCAGGAATTCGGTGACACTTGAAAAGAGAAGAGTTATCAAGAGTCCACGAAGTATCTGTGACTTTGCCAGAAAATAAAAGGACAAAATACTGCAGGATCACCTTGGAGGAAATGCAGCTCAGCCTGCAAGAGAACGGACAGGTCAAAATACTTTGTTCCACTTTTGTGAAATCCACATAGCATACACTGCTTGTTGACTAATGGGACTTCACTCACCCACCCAAACATGACTTGTACAGGATGAAAAGAGACATTGCAGGCGTTCCCAACCTGTTCTGTGAGTGGAGACAACGAAATGGATACAGCAGAATAGACGTGATCTCCATATATATGGAAAGAAGCGTGACAAGTCTTTCCCAGTACCTTGCCAAAACTCTCCAAACCAATCTCTGGGGGCAGCATTGCTTACTACCCCAGAATGCTGCATTTCCTAGACTCTCCTTGACTACTTTATACACAGTTGAAGAGTTTGCTAATTTTAGGAAAAGCAAGAATAAGGAACTCAAACTTAACCTTTGCTGTGCACAGCCAACTGCTGTCCATGTGAGCACAGGCTTACTAGGCAGACCACACCAGATCGTCTCATTCCAGAAGCGATGATTAATCACAAACAGCAAGAGTTAGGCCAATTACAAGCATTTTCTCCCAAGGTGACTGGTGGTACCATACCTCCTGATAACATCCACCAGCTGCAGGCACGTTTTATGAGGACAGTTCTCATCTAGGTGTGACAGACTGATTCTTTGAACATCATCATTAAAATCAATGAGAGCGCTAACAGAGTCAGAAGTGTGGAATTGGGTGTACCCGCGCTGAAACCGCCAATGTTCATTTCAGTTCACTGTTCATTTTGCAAGCAGAAAGATTTATCCTATCTGACAGAGCAATCCAAAGAATCTCTCCCGTCCAGACTACTCAGCCCTGAGCTGAAAATTACAAAAAGCCCACAGCTGCATGCTAAATTATATTTTTCTACACTTGTCTACTCCCTTCTACATAATAGTCACTGGTTTTTTGAGCATGTTGGTAATAGGAATCATTCCCAAGAAATAACCATGATGTACAGGCACCCACAAAAGAGAGCACATTTCAGTACTACACAGAGAACAGACGACTATGTGGGTGAGAATCCACCCCCCCATGCCAGTGGAGACACACCCAGACACCACACCCAGTCAGAAGCCAGTACGCCATTTGTCTCTCTCATCTTGTCTCTTGGGAGCTCTCACAATCAAGCTGGATTAGCTCAGAGGCTATTGGAGTGCATAGATAAAGCCTGAAAGATGGAAAGTGAATAAAACATCTAGGAAGAATTTTTGTGTTATCTCCCCTCAAAAAAATGCATTTTTAAATTTATGGGCTTTTTTTCTCCTTGATTGTGAGTAGTTTGGGGAATTGCATGGTATTTTTCGGAGTATAAATTCTCTAAAGAATGCTTCTTCAGTGATAATGAGGGAGGCACAATTTTGTTGTTGTTTTTCCATCATGGGATGATTATAAATTATAAATGTCAATAAAATTAATTGCTGAGGAAAACCAATTAAGAGTAGAGACATAAAATGAAAGTCCCATTTTTTTTCACTATTAGATTCAAGAGACATAAAACTGCTCCAAGTAGCTGCTATGAAGATCTCTGAGCAGTTGCTGTCACTGCTCACCAGTGCTGCTGCTGCACTAAAGCCGTGGTCCCCAACAACCATGGCAGGGCCGTCTTCTCATTTTATTGTCTTTAACATCTTACTGACTTCACTACAAGCAGAGCTCAAAACTCAACTCATAGACTTTAGCTCTTTCACAAAAAAAAAAAAATACTCACATAACACAGTGTGTGTACTAAGGATGCTTGGTGATCCTTTGATCTAGTAATACCTTTACTCAGCTCTTTGCAGAGTACAGCTCTCTACCAGGCAGATGGTAATGGTATAGTCAGTTCCCCAAGGAGTTCCAATCCAATCAAGCATGTAGTAGAGAGCTATTCCCTTACACTAGGACCTTGCCCCCTCAGCTTTAGCTAACTTGGATCCAAAAATAGAAACTTCCAGAAATTAAAAAAACTCCATGTTTTAAATAACTTCCAATACATTTCTAAAATTGTTCTACTTTATTATTATTGTAAACCATTTGCCATGTCTAGTTTATAAATTAAATTTAGTCATAACTATATGTATAAAGAGGAGAGAAAATATATTTTGTCTCAGTTTTGTACCATTTGAGTCATCGTTTTGGATCATGGCCTGGAAAAAAGGGGACACACTACTTTTCACATCTTCTCTTTCTCCATAAATTTAATCATCTACATCTTGACACACAACTATTAGCTGGCACCTCACTAAATATCTTGGGCCCTTAATTGTAGACATTGAGTGAAACTGAACTTTAATTGTGTGTCTAGAGACCTTTTTGTTACTCTAAGAATAATTTGTGACATATAAATGGCATGTGATCCTCCCTTAGGAGGTTTACCATAGAAGTGTGAAGTTCATGTGTCACCAGTGTGTCCAATGAGCAATAGTGACAGGACTATTTTAGGGGAACTCCCTGTTTGGATTTGAGACGTGCGCCACAAGAGGGAATCCATGCCTTCTAGTGTAAGCCCATTCATCTAAAAACCTATGACCAGGGAGACACAGACCCTAAGGGGTACTTCTCATTGTTGTTGAATGAGCGGACAGCATCAAATCACTTTCTAAGCAGCCCTGTTTGTACTCACAGAGAGCGGAAATGAAGGTAGTGAAGGGGAGCAAGCTGGCTGTATGGTATTCATGTATGAAATTTGTCAATGTAGAAAACGTATCAATAAAGACAAGTGAGCTAAGTTCAATGGCTTCCTGTAGCTTTTATGTCTCTAAAATGTGGAAGTTAAACACAGAAAGTACAGGGGATAAAAGCAGGATACACTATTAAAGTTTGGTCTTGCTACAGAAGAACAAAGTACAGTAAGTAATGTCTAGATTTTTTAAGTCAAAGATGTTGTTTAATGCCTGAAATGCAAGGACTAATACTTTGAATTTTTGTGTCTCATCAACACAAAAGGAAAGAAGGGGACAGAAAAGTAAAAATTTACCCTACAAAGGCATGGCATTGCACCAAATATTTCATTTCCCCCATAAGTATCTTCAACATAGATTACTTCAGGCAGTCCCTTCTCTCTTTTTGACTCTTTGCTTCTTTTATTTTCCTCATTCAATTTTGAATTCAGGAAAGGGATAGCCTCTGCTATAACAATTACCCTGGACTCTTACCCCACTCATAAATCAAGCATAGCTAACCCCTACCACAAATGACAGTACAGCATCCCCAGAAAGGAGTTACCTCACCGGTGTTCCATTTGCGTTTTACGTTATCCTTAAAAGCAAGCCCACACATAGCTTTTCTGTGCTGAACTTACATGCACCTTACACATATTTCAGTAAGCTTAGTTACAGACAAATCTAATAAGGTGTACAGGATTTACAAGACACAAAGCGTGGTGTCCAAGGCAAGTGCACTGTTCCTATGCAGGCCCAGAGGATCTGTCAGCCTATTTTAATGAAGCTAAGCTGGGACTCAGGACATTAAAACTCGACGGTGTTACGCCTCTGCCACAGCAGTGTCTGCTGCAAATAGGGCGTAAGGAAAGATACTCTGATTGCACAGGGAAAACAGAAAGTCCGTATTTTCATTTACTTTCTCTTCACACTGACACTTAGAACTATATCTCATATGCATGTCAAAACTTCCTTTGTATTTCACACTGCCACACAATACCTGTCAAAACAGATTTGACAGACACATACTCCCGAAATTTTATAAATTAAAAATCAAAACATATGAAATCATAAAGCCATACTCTGCTACTTGCTCCAGTCTGGTTCTGACACATCCCTCCTCCTTCTTCAGATGTCAAAAATCTGCATCATCTTTTCATTTCTGCTGCTTATTAGCAAAACTTCACCCGCAGTCTTCTGTTGGGAAAACAACTAAGTTCAGATCAAAATTACAATTCAAGATTTAGCATCACGTTTATTGAATCAGTAAGAACATCAGTGAATGACATATTGAACACAGACTAGATGTATTTTAAAACAACAATAAATTGGAGGCTGAAGAGACGGTCATGCAGCTGAGAGAGCTTCCTATTTTCCCCAAGGACTCAAGTTCAGTTCCCAGTGCCTAGAGCAGGGAGCTTTTAACTGCTGGTAGCTCTGGCTCTGGGCATTCTATGATCTGGACTCCACAGGCATACACATACATCTGACATACACACAGAGGGGAGCACCCCACACACACACACACACACACACACACACACACAAATAAATAAATAAACAAAAACAACTATGTGCCTTAATTTTCCATGTTACTTCTAATTTTCTAATTATATGTTTTTTTCTGACATCACATTTAAAATTAAAGTAAAGGTGACAATGTACATGACAATAATTTATAAATTGCCAAAGCACGGTGTGTGGCTTTGCAAATTATTGCTAGTTAATTTACTCTTTAAAAAAATAATAAATTAGTTTTTCAGTAGAAATCCATTCTCACACTCAGGCAATATTACTAAAAACAGTTATGACTGCTCAAAAGAGACAATTATTCTTTCAGTGTTGAAAGTTAACAGTCATTAGAGTTAGCTCCAAGATGTGGGGAGCCTGCACTGAACTCTCAACTATAGGAATGTGCCTGTTTCCAAAAGTTAGTGATTTTGACATCCCTCTAGAACTCAACATAAAGTTTGAAAACAGCGATGTTTTATATATCAACTTACACAAATCTGTTCTTTTTTTCTGTAGTAAGAACAGCTAACATAGAAAAGACACAATGCAGGGTTAGCAGGAATGCAGATCCCCTCTGTCCCTGGTACTATTCCTTGCCACAGTACACCAACCGTATCATGATTTTTGTATCTAAGAGTGCTTCCGTTCACAGTCTCACAGCAAGGGGAAAAAACACAGTATTTTTTCCTGCACTTATTTTAAATTTAAAAAGAAGATAAATCCTCGGGAGAGCAAACCGTTATCTCAGAATGTCACACAACCTACTAACTGGCCTCACATCGCATCTTGTCTTGGTTTGCAGCCTCTGTCCCTCCCGCACAGTCCACAAGGCATTTCCCACAGCTCCCACTCTGCCACCTTGAATTGAAAGGGCTTATCAGAACATCGCCTGTGCAGTCCATCTGCAGCTAAAAGTCCTCACATGCTTCCCAGTAAAAATAATGCCTCATGGCTTTGAAAATATATTCAGGAAACTAGAATTGCTTTCTAAGCCTCGCCAGCATGATCACAGACTGAGAAAATACCAATTTTCCCCAGGCAAAAATCCTAATCCTCTTCTTGAAAAAAATCCTATTCATTTTGTATCATTCTTTAAATTGCCAAGTCAAAACCTTACTCTTACTGTATCCAAATACAGAAGTTATTCAGGTGGGAAATCTAGCCATGTTGCACATAAACAATTAATAAGCAAAGAAAATTAAAACTAAAATGGAAAATAATTAAGCCAACTGCTGCTTAATTAATTATATGATTTCCTGGCATCACACCTAATATTAAAATAAAGATGACAATGTACATGAAAGTACTTTACAAATTGCCAAAGCACCCTGTGTGGCTGCGTAAATTCCTGCCAGTTACTTAAACTTACATGTCTGTGGCTTTTAAAGAAATGAAGCACCTACTCCTTTGACCGTTTCTATATTGCAGTCATAAATTGCAAGAAGCATCTACCCAGAGTCACAGGACTTGGCTCCTAGGGCAGCTTCTCTGTCATCTCTGGAGAAATCAGGAACTTGGGCCAACGCTGGGTTCCAGCCTCCAATTTCAGAGTCATACGATAGAGTCCATATGACGTTTAGTTGCCATTTAATGTTAACTTTTGTTTTCAGAAATAAATGTCAGAGGCTACAAGTTAGAATAAGAAAGCCACCAAATTCAACCATCATGCAGATAGGAAAGCCCTTAATAACTGCTTTGTACTCGGGCAACAATATCGCCAGTGAGGATGTACATCTTTTTTGTCCTTATAAAGAAATTGCTCACATGCTTTTTATCCTTTACGCCTTTTTAGTTCGCATACAAAGCAATAAGCTTCATGGTGACATTATCATGTGTAAGCATCATTGTATTTTACTCGCGTTTGCCCTGCAGATACCTTCCATACGCTCCTTTCCCTCACTAACTGTCCTCTTCTGCCTCCCAAATATTTCCCCTTGGCTTTCACGACGCATGTGTCTTTGGGGGCTTATGCTTAAATCGGGACTCTACAGGTGAAAAAATGCAATATTTAGTCTTATCACCCTCTCTTGTTCTACCCTTCCCTCTCCTTTAGACCCCTTCTTTTCCTTCATAACCTCCAGACTCTTTCCATATCCTATATAAACATTTTCTTTTTAATCTAGATTCTGCCCATGAGAGAAGCACAGGATGATCTTTGTCTTTCTGGGTCTGGCTGATTTCATTTTAAGCAATGATCTCCAGTGCCGCTGTTTCTCTCAGTGTACAGATCTCCAGTTCTATCTGTCTCCTGGTAGAAAGAGTAGAGTGTACGCATACCACATGCTCCAGCCACAAGTGTTGGTGGGAACCCAGGCTGGTTCTGAGTCTGTTTATTGTGACTGGTGTAACAACAAATACAGATGTGTACACTTCTGTAGTAGCTGACACAGAGGCATTGGCTTATAAATCCAAGGGGAGTACAAGTGGGTCGTGTGGCCATCCTGTCTTCAATTTTTAGAGATTTCTCTGTTCACTTGCATAGTAGCACCACAGTCTACAGTCTCAGAGGTAGTTTCCAAATGCCCATCAGCAGTCTGGTGCCAGCCACTCTGATCAGAAAGAAGGGATCTTGATGGGATTGTATGTTGCATTTCCCTGATGGTTTACTATGATGGAGATTTTTTTCTTTGCTATCTCATTTCTTCCTTTAAAATTATCCCAATTTACTCGCTGAATAATTTAGATTTTAGTTTTTTAAATTCTTGACATTTTCATAGACTCTAGATAGTGATCTTGTCAAATGGTTAGTTAACAAAGAAATTTTCCCGTTCTCCCTTCTTTATTTGAAGAAAGACAGACAGTATATTTCAATCATATTCTTTCCCTCCCTGAACTCCTCTCTCTCTCTCTCTCTCTCTCTCTCTCTCTCTCTCTCTCTCTCTCTCTCTCTCGCACACACACACACACACACACACACAGAATGAAAATCAAAACAAACAAACAAACAATAAGGAAAAAAAGCACACAACAAAACGTGGTGTCTGTTTTGTTGGCCAGCTACTATTGGGCATGGGATGTGCTTGATGTTCCTAGTGAGATCCCACTGGGGAAACTATTTTTTGCTTTTCAAGCAGGTACCTTCTTGGTTTGGGGGCAGTACACTGTGTTCATTTCCCCTTCTCTGTGCCGGACGTATGCGTGCTGTCACAGCCTCTGTGAATTCATGCGTGTATCAGTCCTGTTGTATCTAGACAACACTGTTTCCCTGAAATCACCTCCCACCTCTGCCTCTCACAGTCTTCCAGCCTCCTCATCCTCATAGACTCCCAAGCCTTGGTGTGGGGGGGGGTTGGGGGGAATAGGACATCCCATTTAGGACCAAGTGCTCCAAAGTCTCTCACTCTCTGCATATTGTCCTATTGTGGTCTCTGTGTTAATTACCATCTGCTGCAAGAAGAGGCTTCTCTGGTGAGGGCTAAAATATGGGTAGAGCAGTATGTCAATCGTAGTCGGTTTATTGATCTGGTTCCTTGGCCAAATACTAGTAGTACATTTCCCCCTAAGACCCATGAACTTAGACTGTCTCCTCTCTACTACTTATTTATTTTGTTGTGTAGAAGTCTTTTAGTTTCATGCAATCTTCTTTGTCAATTTTTATAATCATTTCCTGACCCATTAGGGTCCTTTATTTGTCTCAGCCTTCCCAGTGTCTTCAAGTGTTTCCTACAGCTGGTTGTATTTTGTGTTTCACATGAAGGTGTCTGGGCCATGTTGAATTTAATTTCATGTAGGGTACGAAATGTGGATCTACTTTCATTCTCTGTGTGAACATCTAGCTTTCAGCCCTCCATGAAGAGGCTTTTCTCCAACACATATTTTTGATAATTTTACCAAAAATTGGATGGTTATAACTACATGGGTTTATTTCCGCTGGTCTCTATGTCTGAGTTTCTTTCAGCACCATGACTTTATAGCACAATTAGATAACGTACTGTGATACCTCCAAATATTGGTCCTTTTTCTCATGATGTGTTTGTCTATTCAGGGTGTTTTGTACCTTCATAAGAATTTAAGACTGTTTTTTTCTAGTCCTGTAAAAAAATGTAATCAGAAGTTGATAACTGCATTGAAAATCGATTGTTTTGGTAATGTAGCCATTTTTACAAATTTAGTTCTGTAGATCTGTGAGCATGCCAAGTGACAAGGGTCTCTCTATCTTCTAGTATCTAGAGTTTGGGTAATGTAAAATTTTCTTTTGCCTCCTTGCTTGTGTTTATTAGATATTTTAAATCTATTTGAATGAGATCTCTGTTTTTGAATTTTTTTCCTTGACACATTGATTCTTGACATGCAGAAAATCTACTGATTGTCGTAGCCTTGTCAGTATCTATTAAGGTGACCATATGATTCCTACCCTTCATTCTATTGCCCTTATTGATTAGCATGTGCTGCAACCTATTTCTATCCCTGGAAGGAAACCTATTTGATCATTTTATATACTTTTTAACATGCCCTTGAATTTTCTTTAAAAATATTTTACTGCAAATTTTCATTCTCAATAACATGAATCCAAGTTCATCACATAGACTGGTCTCTACTTTTACTGTTCTGTTCTGTTCTTGTCTGGTTTGGACAATCATTGTAACACTTCTTAAAGAAAACTTTGGCAGTGTTCTTTCCTTCCTGTCCTGGGGGCAGTTTAAGGACATTGTTCCTAGTTCTTCTGATAGATTCAGTAGTCCATC